GTTTAAAGTTTTCGAGAACTTTGCTTTCTTAGCGCATGCTATATGAATAGTATATGCCATATACAGTATAGTATGCTTGTAGAGAGGGAGGAAATTGAGGATCTGGCCCATGGTACCGGGAACTGAATAATTTTAAACGCTGCTCATTTTTCAAGTCTGCGCGCCCTTTTCGAAATGCCTCTCGCTCCTCGGCGGCCTCTTTCTACGTCTGCTGTGCTGTGTTGTGGCTTTAATAGCCTGCAGGGTTAAAAATTTAATGGAAAAACGTTTTAATAAATCAGTTAAGTGGTCTTGCCGCTTTTTTTGCGGCTAATTACACGCATTAGTGTTGGCCAGTCCCAGATCCCGGCTCTTTGGCGTGTTAACAGTCGCAGCCGTGTCTCCAGCTTTCAGCTTCCAGCATTCGACTCTAAGCATCATCTCCGACTCCATTTGCCAACATACTATAACATATATACATATAAACACACATAGTTTGCAGACCCTCGTCGCAATGTCGGCCATGCAGCGCGTAATTTAGCAATTAAAAGCGATTAACGCGCGGCAGACATGGCTACTTAGTGTCTAAGATCGGCGACGAGACCACGCACTATATACATACATATATACCTCGTATACCTAGTATATATATCCGACCAGTTCTGCACAAAGCCAGTTTGAAGACCAAGACTAATCAACATTAAGTGTTCGGCTCTTAACAATGCAATCAAATTTTATGCTGATTATCGAAAACATGCAGCAAAAGTTAATGGTCGTGCGCAATTAAGCAAGGGTGTTTTCTTCGAATGCATTCCATGATTTTGATCCAATTTGAATAGCTATAAAACTCCATCGGAAAGTTTACGCTTGCACTATTAACTGCTTTAGAGACGGGTATAAAAATCTATGGTTTTTGAGAGCTGTCAGGGGCATGATGCGTTTAGTTTGCAAATTAAACCTTCTAGACAATTTTTGCCACACATCTTTTTCTATGGGGCTATTTTTAATTTAAGAGAGGTTTCGTTAGTTAATTATTAATTAAATTATCTTTTAATCATGAATATATATATTAGAATTGTTATGCTATAAAGTCATCAATCTTTTTTAAGAATGAAGAATCAAACTTTAAAAATATACACCTAACAATTAATCACTAAAGCCATTAAAATTTATAATCCTTAATATATTGAAAATAATTTTCAATTATATAATAATATAAATAATCGTAAAATATAAAGCCTATAAAAAAATCGTAGCTTTTAGGTTTAGAATTTTAAATGATCTGTATGAAATATGTAGTTAGCTGACAGTCTTGCTTGTCACTAGTAAATGCTATACATTTTTTTTGACAAAAACTTAACCGAAAACAATGCCTGATTTATGAACATTAAAAGATCACTTACTGCGCAACCGTATCGAATGGTAATTGTACAATGCATAGCACAAGAAACTCAAAATTCTGCAGAATGACAACGCAAAGTGTGTTATTATTTATTCTAGCGACCACGTTGGATATTTATTGAATGGAGGATTGGCGAACCGCAATTTTCAACCAGGTAATGGAGCCCAAGTCCCCGTCCCCCAATCCTTCAGCGATCTTCAGTGTTTTTTTTTTTTTTTTGTGAAAGGCGCTGGACTGCGGTTGAGTGGTACAGATTTTTTGGTCGCAGGCCTGCAGTTCTAGTGAATGCCTTGCCCCAGTTTTCTGGCCAGATATATCTACTACATGTACAGCCTACGTACGTACACATTGGGGAAAAACTTTCTAAACCTCGCCCCGAAAATATTGCGCTCTGGCCATGAAATTTGCATGCTGACCACAAGTTTTGCTTCCACTGCAAGTTCAAGTCGTTCGTTCAACCTTTATGACACTTGACCACAGAAACGGAGTGCATTTCTGTGGTCATTTTCGTGGCGCCTAGCCCTGTTTTTTCTCACCTGGGCGTTAGTGCTACACAAATTGCCGCGAATTAACTTCTCGTTTTCGCTGGCAACGACTTCCGCTTTTAACCCATTGTTGCCACTGCCGCGGCGGAAGCAGCGAAAGTGGTGAAATCCATCGAAGACAATGGCTGGGGCGCCACCTCTTTAACGGTCGAACGACAAAATGCAAATCTCGTGTAACCTGGTCCATCCAAAATGCTTTACGAGCGATGGGCCAAAAACGTACAGTACACAACGGGAAATACTCCTTTAAATTTGGTTTTAGAATATATAAATTATCATGAACGGGTCATAAAAAAATTGATAATTAAAAAAAAATCATAAGAGAAATTCAAATCTATTAAAAAATATCATCTGAAACCTGAGCTTTCTAAATCATTTATTTATCATTTTTCATAAATGGTATTCTTTTAAATATATAAGAAAATTTTTACAATTTTTTCGGTGTACATACAGTACCGGCTTAGAAGAAGTCGTAGTGCATACATTTTTGTGCACGGAGACGACAAAGATAACGATGCTCTCGAGTGAGTTCTCGAGGCTTTCACGGTTTATTAAGGCTGTTTATGTGGCGTTAAATGTTAAGGCCTCGCGGTGCCAAGGTGAATGCGAGAGCAAACACATTTTAATGGCATTCGCATTCCATTTGGCAGCGCCGCAAAAGGAGAAGGCTTTGAGCCAGGCCTAACAAAACAAACCCCAAAAACCGCATAAACAAATCAATGTGCGGAGTGGAAATGCGACGCATGGGACTTGCAAGTCGCTCCGGCTTTGATGGCCGCCCAGTGATAGAAGTGGTCAGCAATCGGTAAAGAGTGGAGCGGTCCAAATCCAACCCAGAGCCAGAGCCACGGCCATTGGGACCACACAGGCCCAAGCTCAAGAAGACCAGATGAAAGGGTCGCTCTGGCTCTGTCTGTTTCTGTTTCGATTTCTGGGTTTCCGTCTCCCAAACCAAACTCCCCGACCCCCAACCCTCAATCCCCAATTCGATTTTTCATTTGACGACGTTCCCGCCCACACCATAAATGTGGTATGTGTGTGTATGTGCGTCCCCAGGCGCTGAAATCACCGCATTGAACTTGAAAGTTTGCTGCGGACTGAGCGGACTGAACGGACTGAACCGCAAAAAGAGACCCCCACACACAGATCCACAGATCCAGATCCCAACTGACAATTGTATCGCGATTGACCGCCGGGCAGGGCACAAATGTAAATGCACTCAGAAATTGGCTTCAGCTGAAATAATAAGAAGGCTGGCCGAGAGAGAGACCTTAAAGCGGCAAAAATAGAAATAAAAAAGAGCAGGAGGAGCCCTGCTAGCTGGATAACAACACCCTTTAATTGGCCTAATCGAGGCAATAACTCAATTTTATCAGCTGCCAGGCGTTAATGATATGCTGCCAGAGAAGCTGGCCAATTATAAACACATTTGCCAGGCAGATTCATTAAAATTCCCATATCTGATAAGAAATATTCTTGATTGACACATTCGAGTGTCGTGAAGAAACAGATTTTTCTTCACAGCCATATGGTATATGTTAATAATGTGCTACGCAAGAGGCTGCAAATTATAGACAGAATTCTCAAACAGGTTCGTTAAAATTCTTTGACAAAATCTAAAAAATGAGAAGTACATTTGCTTTCGCAGCATATTGCCTTTTGATTGGCATATTCGAATGTCATAAATATATCTGTTTTTGCTAGAGTAAGACTTTAATGATACACTAAGAGAAAAAGTAAAAAATAATGTTTTATAAATTATTATTGTGCGCCAAATTATATAAAGATTGAAAACCAAAAAGAGTGATATATATATACTGTACAAAAGGGTTAGAAACAATATTGACATTTTAAGAGATATCTGCTAAAAATGTTTTTATTTAACAAATTAAATAGTTTTTTTTATAATATTTGTTTCATTAATGTTATAGTATAAGCTTCTCATTTCAATACCTTAAGACCAAGCAAGCCTTACATTTCCAACAAAAACTTAAATGTGATAAAAACACTCCTTGCGGAAATATGTTACCTGTTGATTGACACATTCGAATGTCATAAAAATGCTGATTTATTCTCTGCCAGGGTGCGTAAACAAATTCATGGGAACATCAGACAGAGATTAAGTTTGTGGCTGGTGGAACTGGAACCAGTTTGCCCTTGCCGCTGCCTCTGCCTTTGCCTTTGCCCTTAACCCGCTGGCGCTCCCTTTCGCAACCGTCACCTCGGTTGGAGTGACGCACCCAGAACCGAGCACTACGTGACCAAGTGACAAATTGCAGGCAAACGGCGCCGAAGGACGGGCAACTTCAATTTCTCTGCCATGAACTTGAAAGAACGAATTTCTCCAACTTTTTGAGTGGCTGCGGTGGGCCAGGAGCTAAAGTGGGGGGGGAGGAAAGTGCAACGAACTGCACTTCCAATCATTAAGATGGGTGTGCCCTTCTCGCTGAAGAATCATAAATTGATATAAGTTATGCAAGGCGTAAAGGAGGTTTACGCTGGTCTGTTTTGATTGCAGAAAGGGAAAAGTAATGGCAGGTCTCGCATCTCACGACTTTATTGCATACAAGCTTATCGAAAGACCTTTTTGTTTATGATCCTTTGTCTCTGATTTCAATTAATGCCCACACGGCTGGAAATAATATCTGGCGAATATTTATACAGATTGGAATTCGAACGTTTTGTTGAGTTTAAAATTAAATGTAAGGTCAAAACTGAAATCATTTTTAAGTTAGGTTTTAACCCATTCCACACTTTACAAACGCCGCCAGCTTTATGTTTCTGAGTTGTTTGAAATTTCCATAAATTTGTGTTTTTATGAGCCAAATGTGTTGTTTCTGAGTTTTACAATGACAAATTTACAAGCACAGAACACATTAAAGCTTTGGAAATACCAACGACCTAGTTATTTTTATCGAACATGGGTGCAGTCTATATACACTGCATTCAGTGCAGCTAAATGAGACTTTCATCGTTCTAATTAAAAGTTCTAAGCTGTCCGACAAAGTGAAGCTAAAAGCCAATTGCCATGAAGCCAAGCTCATCGTGTGTTTGTTTTATTTCCCCCGTTGCAGGCACCTCGAGGAATTGCTAGTCGGGTCCATTAGCAGTCAATCAGCCGAAGAGCCAGCAGAAGATACAGATACAGCCAGCGGAAGAGATACAGAATGCACGAGAGACAAGTGAAGAAGTGAGTGCGCCACTTAGCAGCCAGTCGGCGGTATAGCATTAACATTTGCGATTTGCCATCCAATTACAGGTTGAAGGGCAGCCATTATGTGGCCACGCACGGGCGCCTCACTCCGGACCCGCCCTACGTGCACTCCAACCGGGGCTACTCCACGGACGGGGACGAGACCCACTCCCACCGCGCTCCCTCGGAGCGCACCTACTCGGAGTACACGCTGACCCACGAGCGCATCTCGCCGCAGTACAATCCAGGGCGCAAGAAGCGCTCCTCTTCGGCGAACGGCCACCACCAGCACCTCCAGAGCAGCTACAGCCACAGTCAGATGGGCCTCTCCAGTTCGCCGGACAACGGCGGTCCCCGCTCGCTCAGCGGTCCGCCGCCGACGCGTCAGCCGCCGCGTGCTCCGTCCGCCCTGAGCTACGACCAGGCCGGGGACGCTGGCAGCGACATCTACGTGACCAGTGCCGCCTACAAGGCTCCCTCCGAGATCAGGCAAGTCGCGAGTGGGGACATATTGATATATAACATTAGTCGGGGTCTTCCGGAATTTTCCTCTAACCAAATACGAATCCTAGAATCCTCGTGAATTTTAAGTTAAAAGGTTAAATCCAACAGGGATATAATGCTTATAACATTTACCAGGAATCTCATAACCAGTTTCTAACCGAACGTTATTTTATTTTAATATTTTAAAAAATATTTATATATTATATTATTATTTTTAAAAGGTAAGGAGGAGATAATAGAGTTTAAAATTGTAATAGTTCATTTGAAAAGTAAACGTTATTAGGGTTTTTTGTATAAAATATAATAAAAAAAAGCAAAATAATTAATAAGGATTAACTGCTTTAAGCTTTCATCATATTTATTTAAATAAAGAGGCAAAAAATTAATATAATTATATTATTATTACAGTCGCTACAGCCAGCGACCGGTGTCCCGAGGAGCCCCGCGGAGTGTCTATTCGGTGGCCAGTACGGCCAAAACCGGACGCAGTGCCCGTTCGACGACCAGGAGGGGTGCCAAGATCGAGACGATGTCTGCCCCGAACCCATTCTGCCCGAATGTCAAGGGCGTCTGCTGCCTGATGCTGCTGCTGAATCTGGGCCTGATCCTGGTCACCCTGGGCTTTGTGATCGTGGTGCAGTTCTACGAGCCGCTTTACGTGTGGATCCTGGGAATTGTGTTCCTGATTTTCGGCTTCCTCACGCTGATCGGCTGCATGATCTACTGTGTGTATGTGTTCCGGGACGCCAAGACGCCGTCCCAGGTGCGGAACGAGGATCTCTACTGGACGCGTCACTGGCAGAAGAACATTGGATACACGCCGCAGGAGATCAACTACAAGGCGGACAAGTACGATGCCTACTCCGATCGCTATTCGGTCAGCAAGCTGAGTGGCAAATATTCGGACAGGGAGAGCCAGCGATATTGATTCTTTTTGTTATATACATACATACATATACGGTTTGATGGGGGGATCCTTCAGCCGGAGACAGCGAAAAATATGCATAGAAACGTATAAACCACTTATATCTTAACTAATTGTAAGACTATCTACTAGTTCTAAACGGTTATTAACAAGGCCCCTCAACGTACCTGCTGCAAGTTGCTTGCTAGTTTGTATGTCTTAAGAGAGAAACTGGACGGAAACGAGAGGATACATGAGAGTATTGTAATCTGCCATATTTGAGAAGGTTTACCGCTCGTTCGGCTAATCAAAAACAGAGAGTTTTATGCTAAAATTGTAACTGCAATTGTAACACATGAGAAATAAACAAGCAAATAATACGTAATACAGAAAACAACATTTTCTAGTTGGTTTTATTAATTAAAAGAAAATATGTTTGGACAGTGTACTTTCACAGTGTGCCAAGGAAATTTCAAATTGTACCATCTCTAACAGACAGTTTAGCAAATGGCAACTCCAATCTGAACCAAATCTGGCAGCCTTGGCACTTGGTATTTTTAAAACATGTCAATTAGTATGACCACATGTTTCATTTTAGTATTAATGGTATATTTCTGCTAGCTAACAATGGTCTCACCGCGGTGTGAGAAATAAACAAATTGCAAATTGTTGGCCAACAAAATTGGCAATTCTCCTGATAATGTCGTTCCACCTGAGCACAAAGGAGCGTCTGCTGCTCCTGATCGACGACATCGAGATGATAGCCAAGGAGCTGATCGAGCAGGCCCACCAGAAGATCTCCAGCACGGAGCTGGTGGACCTGTTGGATTTACTGGTGGCCAAGGACGAAGAGTTCCGAAAAATGCTGGAACTGGCGGAGGAGCAGGCCAAAGTGGAGGAGGCGATGGATAAGCTGCGTGCCAAGGTGGAAGTGCATGTAAGTAGAAACCTCCCAGTGCCTAATAATAAGTAACTTTGAGGATTTTACATATCCAATTAGGACCGGGAGATCCAAAAGCTGCAAAAGTCTCTGAAGGATGCTGAGCTCATCCTGTCTACGGCCATTTTCCAGGCTCGCCAAAAGCTGGCCAGCATCAATCAGGCCAACAAGCGACCGGTTTCCTCGGAGGAGCTGATCAAGTACGCACATCGGATTAGCTCCGCCAACGCAGTCAGTGCTCCGCTGACCTGGTGCATTGGCGACTTGAGACGCCCCTATCCCACGGACATCGAGATGCGCAACGGGCTGTTGGGCAAATCCGAACAGAACATCAACGGCGGCCCGGTGACGCACCAGAACAGTGGGATTCCCTCGGAGCAGCAGAGATCCTTGTCCGGGAGCGGAGGAAGTGGGAGTGGCAGCGGCGCAGGAGGAGAAGTGCCCAATGCCTTCCAGAACCAATTCAACTGGAATCTGGGCGAGCTGCACATGACCATGGGCGCTTCGGGGAATACGGTGGCCCTGGAAACCCGCGCCCAGGACGACGTCGAGGTCATGTCCACCGACAGTTCGAGCTCCAGTTCCAGCGACTCACAGTAGGATTGATTAAATCTCGTTTAAGCTAGTGGTTTAGTATTTAAAATAAAAGCGCATTATAAGGAAAATAAGTAATATGCAAATGATCTTATTGTAAACGTGATTCATTTACAGCGGCTCATAGTAAAATTATAAAAATAATGGTAAATGAAATTTCTCAATCAATTAATTATAAAATATTGATGTGAGTACTTAAGCATCACAATTTATTGCGGATACTATTAAAATTGATACTATATTATTTTTAAACGACAATTCGTTTAAAATGTATGCAATATTGTGCACAACAAACATGCAGACCCGAACTAAAATAAGAAAAAATTCAAAATTTAAGAAAATACTTTCTTAAAAAGTCAAAGCTGTAATACAAATTAAAAAATAATAAACCGTTTTAAATGGCCTTGACGTTTTTGTGTCACCCCGTCACTGCCTCTCTAAACTATCGTGACCGTTTCTGGTATATTTAATACTTAAAATACCACTTGGACGCAATCTTCAAAACTATTCCCACGTCCCTAACAGAGCGTGTTCCATATTGAATGTTTTATTAAAATATTGCGCATCTCTCGAACAAACTTAACATTAATTAATTTAATACTGCATATATAAATCAATAAACCCTCACTTGATTTATAATAAATTTTAATAATTAAAATATGTTTCATGGTATATACTTTTTGGTATAATTCAAAAGTGGACATGGTATATAAAGAGTATATTTTTTCGTGCCGGACGGTATATATTTTCAACAGCTACGCGGTCACACTGTTTGACAGCTCTCCTCTCAACACTCGTAATTTTGCTTTTAAAATATGGAATGCAACGCGAGTGCAGCGTGTTTTAAGTAGCTAAAATGTGGCCAAGGTGTAGTCCAGTGTCGGCGCCCATCGCAGATTTGAACCGTGTGCGTCTGTAACGAAAGCAAAGCCTCGAAAACTGAGTCAGAAAACCAATTCCGATCCCCCAGTCCGCAGTGTGTGTGTACAGAAGCAGAAGCAGAAGCGAAGGCTCGACTCAAACCAATTGCAATATCAAAAAGTGGAAGTGGAGTGGTCAGGGAGCGACAGACAACGCCATCGCCATCGCCACTAGGAGCACCCCGCATCCACATTCGGGTTACATATACACAGCAAAACACAGCACACAGCTCACCGCACTTTTACTTTTCCAACCCGATATTGTTGGGAGAAAATTTGCCAAAAAAAAAAAAAAAGAAGCGTGTGGCGACATGATAATTTGTTTGATTTCTACACCCTGCATGTTTGAATTATTGTAAGGCCAACAATTATATAGCCAAGCCGCAAGACCATAAAAAATAGAGAGCCCCCTAGAAAGTCAGAGCGTCAGACATGATGATTCAAGAGCCCGTGCAGGTAAATCAATAGCTATTCGGTCCACCTGGCCTCTAAAAAAACTCTCCCTTTTTTCAAAGGCCGCCATATGGCATTGCCTGAACTACTACGACTTCAAGGATGCTGTTTTCCTGGCGGAGCGCCTGTGCTCCGAAGGTAAGGGTCAAGGTCCTTGTGGTCTTCATGTACATAGCTGATTTTCGCCACCTATTTGTATGCCCGTTTCAGTTGAGAGCGACGAGACGATATTCCTGCTGGCCACCAGTTACTTTCGCTCCAACCAGGTGCACCAGGCCTACTGGCTGCTAAAGGAAAAGCCGCGCCCCTCGCCGCAGTGTCGATTCCTGCTGGCCAAGTGCGCCTACCAACTGAAGAAGTACGCCGAGGCGGAGAGCGCCCTGATCTCGACCGGATTCGCGGACGCCAAGAACTGCGACGAGCTGCAGCGAGACTTTGGAGACCTGGCCTGCTTCGCCTATCAGCTCATGGCCCAGATCTGTGTGCGCACCGAGCGCAATAAGCTGGCCATCAGCGCCTTGCGACGGGCCCTCAAGCTGAACCCCTTCATGTGGCACGCCTTCACGGACCTATGCCTGCTGGGCCAGGACACAGACGCGGCGGCCATATTCCAGATCCACAGCACTGATGTGTTCAACACCTGCCAGGGCAGCAGCGCCAATGCCAATGCCATGGTGCTCTTCGGCGCCGAGCAGCAGAGCCAGCAGCAGCAGGAGCGCCAGTCTCTGATAACCAACCTAAGCAATATATCCAACTTCATACTGACCACGCCCGTGGACCAGCAGCAGCAGCTGCAGCAGGTGCAGCAGATCAACCAGAATCAGAACCAGAACCACAACAGCAACCTGGTGACGCCCATCAACAATAACAATAATAACAACAATCTCAACAGCTCGATCAGCATGCTGCGCGGCGGTCTGGTGCAGAACTCCAGCACGCTGGCGATGTTGGAGGACACGCCCATGGGCTATCCGCAGGACACGGCCGGCCAGCAGCACCAGCAGCTGTACGACATGAGCAGCGGTACACCCTTCCGCAAGCAGTTCAAATACCTGTCGGCCATCTCACCGCCCACTCCGAGCTTCGGCATCATGCCGCTGACTAGTCCCTGCACCGGCAACGATGGCTCCTTCATAGGCAACCACACGCCCGTGATGAACATCAGCTACTCGCCGATGCCACAGATGCTGGTCGAGGTCAACCAGGAGCCAAAGATGATGGGCAAGAAGCTGAAGACGCATGTGGGCGGGCTCATCAATCGCAAGGAGGGCAGCCTCAACAAGCCGGCTGTCTTCACGCAGGCCGGCAACATAACGCCCCGCACACCGAACAACAATAATGTGGGCAACAATGGCAACCTGAATGTGCCGCCCAACCCGAATGCTGCAGTGCGTCGCAGCTCGCGGCTGTTCAGCAACTCGTATTCGGTGAAGGAGAACAATAAATCGCCCAACATAGCCAATAAGTTCGTGCAGCCACGCTCGCCGCCGCGTAAAACCAAGTCGCGGATGACCAAGATCTGCCTGAACAGTGAACTGATAGAGGAGAAGTCCCACCACCTGTCCGAGAAGCGCAAGGAAAAGGTGGAGACCATCACGTCGTCGGGGGCGAACAACAACAGCGGCGGTCGCAGTGCCGCCGAGGAGGCCAAGGTTCTGTTGAACAACAGCCTGAACAATGCCCAGACCATGGCCCACCAGTTGATGGGACTCAAGAAGCAGTCGGCCGACGGACTGATGAGCCTGCTGCGGGACCTGGCCGAGGCCTATCAGCTGCTGTCCAACTACCAGTGCAAGGCGGCCGTGAAGCAGCTGGAGACGACGATACCAAAGCACCAGCTGAACTCCAGCTGGGTGCAGTCGCTGATCGGACTGGCCAGGTACGAGATGCGCGACTACGAGGCGGCGGTGGGGATCTTCGAGAGCATCCACAAGGCGGAGCCGTGTCGCCTGGACTATATGGAGATCTACTCCTCCTCCCTGTGGCACCTGCAACGCGAGGTGGAGCTGTCCGCTTTGGCCCAGGATCTGATTAGCCAGGACAAGACCAGTCCGGTGACCTGGTGCGTGTCCGGTAACTGCTTCTCCCTGCAGAAGGAGCACGAGACGGCCATCAAGTTCTTCAAGCGGGCCGTACAGGTGGATCCGGACTTCGTCTACAGCTACACACTGCTGGGCCACGAACTGGTGCTCACCGAGGAGTTCGACAAGGCGATGGACTACTTCCGGGCCGCCGTGGTCAGAGATCCGCGGCACTACAACGCCTGGTTCGGCATCGGCACCATCTACTCCAAGCAGGAGAAGTACGAGTTGGCCGAGACCCACTATGTGAAGGCTTTGAAGATCAATCCGCAGAACTCGGTGATCCTGGTGCACATCGGCGCCATGCAGTTCTACATGAAGAAGAAGGACTTGTCGCTGCAAACGCTGAACACGGCCGCCACGCTGGATCCCAAGAATCCGCTGACCCGATTCCATCGTGGCTCCATCTACTTCTCGCTGGGCAAGTACCAGGAGGCGCTGCGCGAGCTGGAGGAGCTCAAGGAGATCGTGCCCAAGGAGTCGGTGGTGTTCTATCTGATCGGCAAGATACACAAGACGCTCGGCAACATGGACCTGGCGCTGATGCACTTCAGCTGGGCCACCGACCTGGATCCCAAGGGTGCCAACAATCAAATCAAAGATGCCTTCGACTCCATGGCCCATCCCAGCTGCTGTCCGGCCAACATCGATCTGGAGCCCAACTCGGAGCGGTCCGATGACTCCACGCAGGCGCAGCAGGACGGCAGCTACGACAGCGACTACTAGGGAGCTGCGACTCCAAATCCACGCGGTTGTATATACGTTAAACAGAAACACACAGTAAGCAGAGGAAAACATAGAAAGCGATACAATTACGGATACAAAAACAAAACCAGATCGATTGCTGCTGTATTGTCGTCGTAAAGCGGAAAGCAAACCAATTATGAAGTATAATAAAGTCTAGATAACGTTTAGCATTAGTAATTTAAAATATACAACAAAGTAAATGGTTTAAACAAAATTGTGCACTCTGAAAGTCTAAGGCAAGATAACAAAACAAAACAACAAATTAAATACCACTTAAAAATATACAAGAAAAGGATACATTTTAAACGTTAAGTTATAAGAACATGGGCTCTTATGGGAATTACCACTCGATTGTACACAGTCCAACGTGGTCAATTGGAATTATCCTATTAAAACTAAAACTAAACAAAGCAGAAATATTGTACAGTGTAAGTGATAGGGAGCTTCTTATCTGAGTGGAAATCCAATCACGACTAATGTGTCTGATCCTCCAGGTCCTCCCTTTCCTGCTTTATCGGAAAAGTCAGGAGCTGTTCGTGGCTTAAGGCCAGAGTTATGTCCAGGACATTACGCAGTCGCTCCAGCTCCACATTCAGCATGGTGGCTACGGCGGGCAAGTGCTCGTCAACCAAAATGTATTGACGCGGCAGTGCCATCGTCAGTATGTTGCCTATGTCCTTGGTGCCGAAGATGTCGCCAATGGAATCGCTCAGCGAGAGATTCATGGAGCTTTCGGATCCGAAGGCCAATGGCGATGGGATCATTCCCTCCTCCGGTGTGGCACACAATTCACGCAGCTGGTCGGCCGGAGCCGAAAACGGACGATGTGGAACCAAGCTGGATGCTGGCTCGACAGGCGGCAGTTGATGGACAAAATGGGCTGGATATTGAGTAGGTAGCTTCGATGGAGAAGGTGAGGTGCCTGCATGATCGTCAGAAAAGGTTGATTGAAGTTTTGTAAGCTTTTTCTTAGCCGGTTCCTTTGGCTTTGGCCCAGGTTTCCTCTTCGTTTGCTTATTTTTTCGAGGAACTTCTTTCTGATCCTTAAGCGTCTTGTCCGCTGGCTTCTTGACTTCATCCTGTGCCTTTGGGTGGCTAATCCTAACCGAAGGCTTCAAATGAAGGATTTTATTGACCGGCTTTAGGGACACGGCTTTGTCTGAGGCTTTCAGATGCACAACTTTCTCCGCGGGCCTTAAATGCAGAACTTTTGACGAAGGCTTCTGCTGCTGGCAAAGTAGTTCACCGAAATCATCCTCCGTTTCCCCAAATAATTGGGGAGAACGACTTTTGGGTGGGATCTTTTGAAGATTCCGGTTTTCCTTGTCAATAAGTCGCTGCGATCTTCTTAGCGGCGAGAACTGGGAACAGTAAGTGGACGCGGGACTTGTAGTCCTATCCATTTTAAAAAATCTTGCAAATGCAACGCGTAATAGTTTAAAATACGTTTTAAATATTCCGTTGGAGCAAATTATAAAATGTCCTTATGCTTAGAGCTGCCACTTTTTGTAAATATGTAAAAACTTATTTAACGGTAAACTAATATTTTCATCTCTGGGCTGCCACTTTTTGTTTTTAACATTGGTTGACTTTTTTTATAATATACATTTTTAAAAACGTAATATTTTGTTAGATATTGAATGGGCCCTTACTTACTGAACATTTTTGAAATCATATATATCTAAATGTTTATACTTAACAATATATTTATTTAATAATATTAATTGAAAACAGAGCTATAAGAACAAATCAAATATTTAGGGCCAATTTTGTGTATTAATCGTAAAGTAAACATTCCATGAAAAAGATATTTTAAATACATATTTTTGAGTTAAATCTAGGAATTATATGTATATATACTTTATGTATATTTAAATAAATTGTATATTTGAAGTGGTGATGTTTTAATGGGTTAATTGGTAATGTAGTCTGGCAACGTACAGTGCGGTATTTTTAGTACAACCTTGTTTTTGTGCCGACACTAAGCAATTCTTTTCTGGTCACACCGGTAATAGCAATGGCAGCGACTACTTTACGTAAAACCCCCGTGGTAAATAAAAATATAGATTTTTTCAATTAAAATAAAGTGACACTGTTTTTTTAGCTTGTGGCAAGTCTGCAGAGATGTTTTGCCTCCGCCCCAAAGGTGAAGCCCACTAAGAACCGCACATTATCTGCTGTTGGCGAGTCGATTGCCGCCAAAGGGTAAGTATTATGTACTAATTTCCTTAAAACCCAATTAATATTACCCTATGTTTTCAGATTCCTGCGTCCCCATAAGCCCTACTCCCCACCCGCAGATGCCGCAGAACGTGTGCGCTCCGTGGCTGCCTCACTCAAGTTGAAATCCGATCAGCTGGGGAATCTCTCAGAGAAATTCCAGTTCCTGGCTGCCTGCTTCCAAGAACTGCAGCACGGAGTGCCCAACTCCCAGGTTCACGAACTGCGCACCATCGGCGATGTCATCTCCTTTTATGAGACAACCGTGGACACAACCGTCCCATTGGATGCACTGAAGCGCGTTGAGCTGCCGGAGAATCTGCACATCCAGTACGAGTACGTGCGCTTCAATCCCGAAACAGACACCAAATTCGACGGCAAGACAGCCTTCCCCAAGAGTTCCACTCTGGTCACGGGTCTCAAGTACCGCTCCAAGTACGAGGGTCACGAAGCCAAGCGATCCTGGCCTTAGTTTTTAGCGTTTTACACTTATTAAATGAAATCAGAAAAGAAATTCGAAAATGGGTAATTTCAAACTAAGCTTCGGTTCTGCTTTAAAATAAGCTTTAAGAATTTTTCGCGAAGCACTGAGATCCGACCTTCTGTGAGTAGAAGCTTTACAATCAGTAAATGCGAAGAATTTATACTAATTTTTGGTTACACTTCCGATTTAAATGTATAAGAAACACAATCCTGGTCTTACAGCCAATCTCTGGCTAACGTCTTACATTCGTTACATTACGTTCTGAGTAAGAAATCGACTACAGTAGTGCAGTGTTTTAAAACTGACTGAGAAATACTCCCTGCGAAGTTGTTAGGGTTAGAGTCTTAAGATATATGGAAGCCCGAGAATCTATAAAAACTCGGCTATAGTCTGCTTGAGATCCGAGTTGTAAACGCTCTCCAGGGCCGCCATGACGCGTTCGTCGCCCAGCAGCTTCATCAGCCGCATGTCCTCCTTGACCGCCTCGAAAGTGGGGTACATGAGCTCGCAGCTGATCTCGGTAACCGCTGGCTTGTTTATAATGCTAAGGATCTTCTTCTGCAGCTCGATCTCTGGGTCGGGGGCCCCGAGTTTGGCCAGGGCATTGGCCTCGCCCACCTCCCGCTTCAGTTGCTCCTCGCACTCGCCCTTTAAGTACTGGATGATCACCTCGTACTGTGAGGCGGTCAAGGGATGATTGTCGGCCAGCCTCTCTAGCAGTTCCTGCATTTGCTCCGGATGGCGTCGCTGTCCCCTGTGAATGGCGGCGACTGCCGGTAGGGCGACAGCATCGCGCTGCTTCTTCAGTCTAAAGTCGGTGGCCACCAGGGTGATGGCGTCCTCCAGCGGCATGTTGCGGTGCTCGGCGGGCACGCCATACAGGATGTTCACGGTGATGCTGTTGTGCTCCTCGTGCTGCGGCGTGACTAGCACCGCATACAGGCAGCCGCGCGATGAGATGTTGGCCAGGACCTTGCCCAGCTTGACGTCCTCGTTGGGAAAAAGGACATCCACCCGCATACCGGCATTCCGCAGACGCTCTTCAATGTACTCGGCGTATTTGCTAATGGCCAAGAGGGAGTATGATTATCTGAATCAGGACTTGGACTACCATAACTCACGTATTCTCCCGATTCACGACTATAATCTCGCAATCGTTGATGAGCGGCTGACCAGCAGCCGCCGCCGCCGCGGACATCACAATCCCACCTTGAACTGTGACCTGGGCTCCTTGCATCGGATTCTTTTTGGCATTCGCGTTGGCCGCCTTTGCTTTAATGCTGGCGTTGCGTACGGTGAGCATGTTTTGCTTAAAAGAAGACTTGTGCAGGGCGGATGCTGCTTTATTGGCCAGCTCCTCCGATTCAAACTGCACGAATCCGTAGTTTTTCTGGACCATTGAGCCGAGGACTTTGCCGTATGGCTGGCAAATGCTCACCAGCTCCTCACGCGTACAAATGGGCAGGTTGCCCACGAAGATGCGACTCTTGGCCAAGGCAGGATCCTTTGTTATATTGTAGCCAGCATTGCCTGGAAGGGACATATCTGTATGCTTTTCAGGACCCAAGAAACTAGTAGCAAGGAATTTACTTAAAAATACAAGTGTGACCAGGCATAGTTGGGCAGAAATACCACACTTGTGTATATCGCAAGGCAGCAAAGTCATATGGGGCATTCCTATTCTGTTGAACCGTTCAAACCCAAAGTTAACGATTTTGTATTCTCTTGCAAAGGGTATTCAAAAATTAGTCAAAACTTTTTATAGAGGTGAATAAGAGATTTTTTGATCCAGTAAAGTATATTTATTCTTTATCATCATAACCAGATGAGTTGATACGACCAAGTCCGTATATTTCCATACCGTCTGGTTTAAATTAGTTTTAGACTTAGACTTTTCCTATAGCGGCCACATACTGACACTAATTATACGGTTCTATGCGAATTTTTCCAGCAGAGTAAACGTTAAATTCTTGTATATGTACATTGCACTTTGTTACATTTTTTAATTACAAAATACAATACATATTTTAGATATGATATACTACCGCTTTTTCATTGAAAATTGAAACACAAATTTTAATTGTCAGTGAAAAATTTACATTTTTAAAAGTCCTTCGGTCAAAGACTAATTGAACTAAATTTATTGACATTTTCTTTTCAAATGATTCAGTAAAGTACAGTGTAAGTCACTACAAAACAAAATCAGAGAAAGGTCAGATACTTCGCAGACATTTTTAAACAGCATTTTTTTAAAAATATGTTTAACAAGTGTAGAACTTTTCGCGGATTTTCAAGTGTTTTCGAAGAGTTGAACTGCTGACGTATTCAATGATCAGCGATCATGTTGTTCTGCTGAAAACGCCCAATGACTCCTCAAAGGGTGTATTAAATATTTTTAAGGAATCCCCCTACCAAAACTATCCGCATATGTGGTCACACAAACAATGTTAAGGGGCTGCCAGACTGTCGGGCAATTTAAATTTTTTCTTAAATTCCAAAATTATTTGCTAAGAGAAACTTAAGTTGAAGTGTATATAACGTTCATACTAGATAATATATATTAAAGCAACGGTATTTTAAAGCGCATTTACCTCTTGAAAAATATTTTACAATTGTTAAGATAACAGCACAGGCGGATATTTTAGCGTCTTGTTTTAACTGGGTGCAGCCACACTATTTTCTTTCTTTTGGCTTTCGTTTCCGGCGAGGTACGTGCAAGAAATTTGTGCTCCACGTTTTTGGCTTAAATTAATGTTTTATTTTACATTTTAGCGTTGATTAATACATTCAACAAAAGAAATGGTGGGTCCCCGACAAAAACTTCCAGCCATCTTTACAGCAAATTGGCGAATAACCTGCAAACGCAATAGGAGCCCCAGCCCACGTGCAATGTGAAGCCTTCTGGCGATAAAATGCCAAAAAAAAAAATTAAAACAAATTATGGGCGGCATATAGTTTGAGGTCTTATAATATCATAGTGCCAGCAGCTAAGCCAAAACGAGAAAATAATGGACTGTAAACAATCCACGAATGATGGCTTATTGTATTCCCGGTTCAAAACACCAGTGCTAATAAGTATGTTTTCGATTGCAGGGTATTGATATCAACCACAAGTACGATCGCAAGGTTCGCAGAACCGAGCCCAAATCCCAGGATGTGTACCTGCGTCTGCTGGTCAAGGTAGGGCTGAGATTATAAGGATTGTCCAGCGATACGGTGGATTAATGTGTGTGTTTTCCCTCTATCCCTGCAGCTGTACCGCTTCCTGCAGCGTCGCACCAACAAGAAGTTCAACCGCATCGTCCTGAAGCGCTTGTTCATGAGCAAGATCAACCGCCCGCCGCTATCGCTGCAGCGCATCGCTCGCTTCGCCAAGGCGGCCAACCAGCCGGAGTCGACCATTGTGGTTGTCGGCACCGTCACCGACGATGCCCGCTTGCTGGTGGTGCCCAAGCTGGCCGTGTGCGCCCTGCACGTTACCCAGACCGCCAGGGAGCGCATCCTGAAGGCCGGCGGCGAGGTGCTGACCTTCGACCAACTGGCCCTGCGCTCGCCCACCGGCAAGAACACCCTGCTGCTGCAGGGCAGGCGTACCGCCCGCACCGCTTGCAAGCACTTCGGCAAGGCTCCCGGTGTGCCACACTCGCACACCCGCCCCTATGTCCGCTCCAAGGGACGCAAGTTCGAGCGCGCCCGTGGTCGCCGCTCCAGCTGTGGCTACAAGAAGTAAGCACCCGGCTGACTGGACTGGATTTGAAATCCTTTTGGTTAAGATATTGATTTTTCTCGCCGCCGCTTAAGCAGCACGCGGCAATAAAGAGGTTTTTATTCCAAAAGGTGAAAACGAGTGGTCCTAAATCTATGTAGCATCTAAGCGGATCCTAGTGGAGGTGCGTGCTCCAGTAATTGATTATCGGCTGATCCTGCGGCTGTACGCCCAGCACCTTCTTCAGTTTGCCCTGCACGCTGGTGGATTTGGCGTGGTTGAGGCAGGTCACTTTGCTGTCGGAGGGAATGCGATTGGTTTATGGAACTTTGAAGCATTTGCTAGAGTTCTTCTACTCACTTTTTCCACTCCTCGATGAGCACCTTTGTCTGCTTGTTCAGCACCAGTTCTGTGAAATTCTTTTCCTCCACCGCCTTTAGAAGTTTCACCATAAGATCTGGCACTAAAATGAGAAAATTGGTTGAAAGAAGCTTAAGAAACTAAAATGGATTTCTATAAGATATTCTTGTCGTTTAAAAGATTGTCCCACTGCTTCGGTTCCATCTAAGAAACGTTAGTATGATAAACACAAAGGATGCAGGATAACATTTTGACTAATTTATAACTCTCATGATTTGCGAAAATTCCGTAAAAAAGAAAACCGAAACACCACCACACTGATGCTTACATTTTCTGGGCAGTTCTCCAGGCCATTTGACCGAAACCTCGTGCCCATTGACGTGCTTGTCCAGGAAATCGATTCGAAACACTGAGCCACTGGCCATGGGAACGGCTATGTCATTGGACACGGATATGATCTTGTACTCGGAGCTGATGGAGTGCTGGTGCTGGGCATCGATTCGCATCAGATTGTGCATGGGCTCGGGCAGCAGTTTCTTCAGGCAGACCATGAAGCGGAAGGTCTTCCTGGGATCCCCTCGGACCACGATCTTGACCCCAGTCAGAGCACAATAGCACACCGTGGCGAACTCTTCCTTGCGCACCACACTCTTTAGATGTCGCAGCGAGAAGAACTCCTCCAGATCGGGGTCGTCTATGCTCTCGATCATTGGCAGGGTGGAGCTGTTGTAGGTGAGTCGCTGGGCGGGGGGACGGCCACTACTTTGCGGGGGCAGCCAGGGCAGGTTGCCAAAGGTCACGTGCTCGGTGAGGAAGCGGGATCCGGCCAGCAGAAGCCAGGAGAAGTGCGAGTGCAGGTGGGCGAAGATGTGCTCCTCGCCCGTGAGTTCCAGCAACGAGCGCGAGTTGTGCATCAGGAACTGGGCGCCGGACAGACGCCTCTGCCTCTCGGAGTAGGTCAACTCCTCCGCCTCCTTGGTCTTCCGGGCAGCCATCTGCAGCTCCGACGAAACCTTTTTCAGGTGCTCGGCCAAAAAGGGCTTGATATTCAGCAGGAAGTACTTGTCCTTCATGAGGACTATAATGGAGAACAGCTGTGAGTAGCCGCGGGCCTGCAGGTCGCTCACACGGAAGGTGTGGCTCAGAATGTGGCCCCTGGCCGAATCCCCGAAAAACACAAACTCGCCATCCTTGCTTGGATCGGTCCCATTGCTCAAACTGAGGACCGCCGCCTGCTTGACCAGACTGGCCACTTCCGGCAGCACCGCAACCTTGGTGCTCACAAATGTGGCCCCGCTCTCCGTGTCCCTGCTGTAGATGGCACTGTTGTTCCTGCCCATCGAGTAGTTGCAGGCGGAGCAGGATTTCTGGGTCTGCTGCTGCTGCTGATCCAGGGGCAAATCCTCCAGCTTGGTGTCCCTCAGGGTTTGGGTGCAGAAGATGGCGCAGGGACCATGTGCCTCGCAAAAGTGGCACAGTGCAATCACGGCGTTCATAGCAGTGAGCTAGTTTCTAAGATTTCCTGGGGTAATTATTCGCTCGTTTATTTACTGTTTACCCATGTCATAAGATCTGCAGTGTGACCAGCTACGCAAAAACGACAAGGGGCTAAAATTTCCCTGGCGATTTAGGTGGCTTTTGAGAGTTTGGCGGAAAAATTCAAATGTTATAGCTAAACAGATATTTCATATTCCTTTGTGGTAAATCTAAATAAATATTAAATAATTTTATTATAGATTTACTTTTAATTTTCAAAGAATTATTTTAATAATAATTTTATTTTTTCTTGAAATATATTCATCACATTTTTTAGATCACAGCAAATATTTTTTTAAGTGGAACAAAATATGTTAAAGTAATTTTAATCACCAAATTTCGATAGCGAGAAGATGATCTGTATTTACTTACCAAATTAATTATGCAGAACGAAGAGAGTTGAAGCAGACACATATTCTGGATGTCTTTATAACCTAATTTGTTCGGGATGCTAATTGGCTGTGTAAATATTAGTTTTCGATCGCAAAGCAGCTCAGATTGGTACCGACATAAGTGGGCTTCATTCTTAAAAAGTTTAGTGCCCCTGCCAGACGCTTTTACAATGCAATTGTTGGCTTGGATATATTTATTAAGTTGGTTTTTACCGTGGGTTAAAAGTGCCTATGACGTGGTCGAGCCCACAGTTGGCCAAAATATTACGGAATATCTGCATGCACGCCAGAAAAGACACCAATTGATCTACAGAAATGGAGGGACCATCCGTTTGGTAGTGGGTGCCGTTATGTCCACCCAACTTGAGGATCCCGTGGTCTGGCGCAGCATGGTTTACTATTATGTTCTGCACTTTGGAGCATTTACCCTACCATCAGCGCCATTGTATCCGTGGGACAAATGGGAGACGATCTATGCTCGATCGCTTCAGGAGAAGATCAGGAGCTTGGATGAATCCCACGAGGACGACACGCGAACATTTGCTTATGCTGCTTTGGAAAACTATATGGACCAACTCAGTGGATCGGTGGGTCGTGGTCGTCAGTGCTTGTTGCGAGGGATTTGTGAAAATGCCCAGGTTCATCATCACGTGGGAATCATGGCGGAATTACTTAACGTTCTGCTCACGTAAGTTGGAATTTTTGAGTTTTTATTCATTTTTAAGAGTATTTTAAACTATTAATCATATCTTTGTAGACCTGGTAAAACGCGTTTGGATTTGTCCTATACAGATGCCTTAACAGCTGGGAAAGCTGGGATCGATTGTTTATCTCACTTTCCGGATTGTCCAAGAGGTGAAAGTATCTTGGATGCTTATTCTGTACATTTGGATTATTAATATTCCAGAGACTTTGTAGGCAAAGCTAATTATATTTTTTAAAATAAGCAAAAGAGTATTTTCTGGAAATATAAATATAATATTCATTTATATTAATATAGTAAATATAAATTAAACAAAAAAACGAGATACAATTAAAAATTAATGTGTTTTATTTTCTTACTAATCTTATAATGTAATATGCTAAAAAAAATACAAATTCTATTTATTAAAATGAAAGTTAAACCTTGTTAAATCTTGGTTATTTATAGATTACCGCTTATAGCATTAAGATCAACAGCAAAGACTCGTCAACATTACAATAATCACAACGCCCCTAACCATCTTGGTGCTTTGATGCGTTTTTAACACTAATTGCAAGTGTCTCGCGCCCTTGTCACAGCCACGCCCTCTCAAACTCCTCCAACCTGGGACTTTCTCCTCTGGTAAACCAGACACATGAGTGGATCCCAGCATCCCCCAGCTTTGCGGGCAAAAATCCGTTAACATTAATGGCTTGTGGCTGGTGAAACTTGGGCTTGGAAAGCGGTGCAGCGAAAGCCAACACACGACCGCCATTTTGTCAACAATGGCGTCAATTAAATGGAAAATGCAGCACCACCAACAACCGCCAAGCTGCAAGAACACCAACAGCAACAGCGAAAGACAATAAATGCGTCTTAAGTGGCACATTAGGCTTGCAGACGCTGACGAGCTGAGAAGAGAAGGGGTTTTTACAGGGTGTAGCAGCTGCTATTTCAAAATTTATTCATATATCGTTTGCTAGTTGAACTCTGTACATTAAAGAAAATACTTCTTTTCAAATTTTTTCATGTTTTTTTACAACTTGTGATACCAACTAAAAAACAATTTTTTGAATTTTATTTAGCTCTAAAACAAATTCCATTAAGATATAACTTAAGAAATAAAAGTCATAAACATAAGGTATTATTGAAATTTTAGAAAAAAGGTGGAGCTAAAATTGGCTTAGTTTGGGTTGTAAAACCACATTATTCATATTGATAGATCGAGAATTGAAAGCACCCTGTGGCGAATCTCTAGCTCATGGCTCAGCTGCGCCTTGTGTGCACAGCTAATTCAAATGCGATTATGACAACGCGAACAAGGAAGGAGCTAAGCGGCGGAAAAGACATGGAGAAGGGGATGAAAGTGGGCTGAAAGCGGGATGACAGTGGGATGAAGGAACTATGCAAAGTGCAGTTGGCGAAGCCAAAGGGGGCGGCTTGGGGGAGGCCTGCTCAACTTTGCGGTGTTTGAACTTGTGATGGTGCAGAGCAATAGGTAACTAATGTCTGCGGCTGCCATGTTTATGCGGCAACAATATCGTGATACCGAAGTATTGATTTTTTTACTGTTCACGAAAATTTTTTTAGAAAAAAGTGGAAAGCCATGGTATGAAGTGATTACCAGAAAAAAACTTTTTTAGCTCAACTTGGCATTAGTGTCATACATGGCCTTAATTTATTAGATTTTTATAATTCAGCGGAAAATATTTAGAAATATGATTTTTTTGACTCCCTAACATACGGTGCGTATGATTAATATATATTTTTTCAATATTTTCTTTAAACTTATTGAATCTTGCACGACCTGGTATACTTGGACGTTCAAACCGTCATGCATCCGGCACGCCTGCAACGATGTGCACACATGCTCATCCTCGAGCCGAGTCAACACAGTTTCCTGCCCCTCAGACATGCTTCCGTGCATTTCCGCCCCAAATTATGCAGCAAGACCAAGCAAAATCCGACATCATGACAAGACCCATTAGACATGCACTTTGATTTGGTTGAAAACTTTATTGCGGATACCTATTCTCTTCCGTACTTCACAGCAATCCGCAGCATCAGCTGCAGCAGCAGTAAATCAATCATCTTCCACAATCAACAGCCCGTCGAGGAAGTTGAGACCCCGAGGACAGGACTTGTATAGACCCAGGCAATTGGCTCCAGCCCTTCCGGCGGCATAGGCCTCGTGATAGGAATTATCCAAATCCGCTTTGCCGGGACTAAAATTATATATGATATTTTTTAATAAAACCTTGTTTTTTATCTTCGATAGAATTTCACTCACCTGAGTATGATATCCATAATTTCCGAAAACACACCGATGTGGTGATGTATCTGAGCATTCTCGCAGATGGACCGCAGTAGGCATTGCCTGCCCATTGAAAGGTTGTTGTTCCTTCTGCCGATGTACTCCTCCAGAGCAGTGTAAACCAAGAGTCTGGCATCGTCAGCATATCGCACTTCGCCATTGGCCGTTTGCCGCTCGATGTTCCGCCTCATTTGCGTCAAGGATCGGGCGAAGGTGCCCTCCCACTTATCCCATGGCCAGATGGGTGAGGTGGGCAGGGAGTAGGAGCCACCTTGCAGCGTAAAGGAGAGCACACAGGATCGAAAGGTGACCTTGTCCTCCAGGGGAATCGGCAACGAAGGACCAATGCTGAACTTCATGGACCCACTATTCTGGTAGATCAGCCATCGCTTCTGTCGATGTCCCATAAACTCCGTGAGGTTCCGAGAGCTCAATCCACGTGATGGCAGGGTGAGAAGACCCACCGCCAAGAGCAGACCCGTTGTCCACTTCATGCTTCCAACGACTAACTGCAAATATAGGCGTCACAGCTTCAATTCGGTTTGAAATCCCCCGTAAATTAAGTGAGCCGTCATCTCTGGATGACAAGTGAAAATTTCGGAGACGCAAACATTTGGCCAGGCAATTAGCATTATGAATGTGACAAGAATTGGATTACACTGATAAACGAATTTGGAGAAATATAAAAAAAAAATTTAAGGGCTAAGTTAAATCATCACCTTTAGTGTGTATAATTTATTTTAGTTATAAGTTCCTTATTGCTATTAATCCCTAGAAATAAAATTATTAATAATTAAAAAAAAATAGTGAAATTTAATTTTAAAACTAAAAGCAAATGAAACTGAACAGAATAATTAAAGTTTTCTACTTTTATTTTATTAATCTGAGAAGTAATGTAGTAATTTTAACAAAATCAGGCATAAAGAAATACTGAACAAATAAAATCTAGCACAAGCTAAATTGACTTTTTTTATATGGTAAACAATATTTTTTCATGTGTGGCCAGTTGCTTTTGGTTTTCTATTTGCACACGTGAGTGGATCACTGAGTGGACAACAGCAACCAATTTGGGTTCGGCCCAAATGAAGTGACCCAACAGCCGAGATCAAGATGAAAGGTCACCAAAATATATGGGAAATATAGCCACTTAGAAGACCATTAAAAGGCGGGGAATCTTCGCACACAATCAGCTTGCAGAGCGATGAAACGAAAAATGTTTTGCAAATTATTTAGACAAATAGGGGAGGTGGTACCAACCGCTGCCCTACCGCTCCAGGCGAAGATAATATCCTTTTTCGGGTTGTTTTGTGATTTGTAGACGTGGCCGGAAATGAAAAGCAAATAGCTGTAGCAACAGCAGCAAGCAAATACATTTGTTTAAATAACAGCAGTGGCAGTGGCAATAACAACAGCAGCAACAATCGGCAAACAGCAAACAGAGCTGCAAACCACAAAGATGAAGGAAGGAGAAAATGGATTCAGAACCGCAGTGGCACACACACAATTGGTTACACGATACGAAAAACCCATGTGGGTTGACATGTCTGACCAAATCACAATGCCGCGCAACTTTTCCAACCCATCCACCTGACCCTCGGACATTTCCGTTTTCTGGGAACAACAAGCGGCTGGCATAAGAAATAAATTCATGTCGACAATTTGAATGATTTATAGAAAATGCGTGAAGACAAAATTTTCACATGGGCAAAAAATAACAACTCAGACCTATGCGTAGGCGTAAATAAAAAGATCAACAAAAATACCTACCAATTTGTAGCAATAAACCCAAGTACTATGCACGTATTAGGCTCTTTGTCATTCATATGCCAGACTCCTTGAAATCGACCAGTCATTGTTGATATTTTTATATAGAAAGTTACTGTGTTAGCTATTCTAAGCATTTTAAAAATAGATTTTTCATTGATACAACGAATAAAAGAAAAACAAAATATGTTATCAAACAAACGGATTTTATTTGTTATGGTTTTGCAAGTCCAGCTTTTAATTTTATTACTTTATTTAAAAGAAAAAGATAATTTATAAGGAAGTTATTTTAAACCAAAGTTATTTTTAAACCAAAATGAAAAAATCTTCAGAAGAAACAGATAATTTTTTAACAAGTTATCTAAAATGTATAACTTGAAGAGTTTATATTGTAGGTTATATTTCAAAAATTATAGTTTTTAAACCAAAATGATAGAGAGTGAATTTTGTTGCCTTATTGCTTCGATTGCAAATGCCCCAAAATGGAAATTTTAAAACCCTCTGTTCCTCTGCATTACGTAAAAGTAGAAAGTAGTCCTGATTTATTAGTGCATATGTGCTTCTGTTTGCAATAGTTTTGCCAAAAGCTTGTTTCATTGCAACATCGCCGTATCTCATACTCAGTCATATGACATTGTACATGTTTTTTCCCAGCTGTCTTTCCATATTTTTACTTGGCCTGTTCGCATGCTCCTTTTGCCCAATTTGGCACAGCCAAAAACTTTATTTTCCTTGGCCGCAATTAGGCAGCGGGTGAAGTAGGGAAAAGGAGCTGGAAAAACAATATCTGAAGTGTGGTGCTGGGCTCCACCCCCAGGAACATTTCTCCAAATGTCAGGCAGCCTGAAAAAAAGGACGAAGAAAAAAGGAAGTAACAGTGACACCCAATGGACTTGTAGCTACCTCATTCGACCTTCCTACACCACCACCCTCCCAAAAAAAAAGACGACTCCCCAGAGGGAAGTTCTTCTTCTTCAATTTCTCACACAAACTGTATATAATATTTATTATGTTGGCATAATAAATTGCAACATGAGGCAGATTCATTTTCGCACTTGCGGACATTTTTCATTTCGTTGCCCGCCGGGCAGCATCTGCTTGGACTTTGGCGGTGCGACTGGAAAGGGGGCGGTTGGTTGGTGGTTGTATTTTTTGTGGGTTCGTGGGTGGTGCTTTCGGGCGGTGGTTGTGTGCGAAAGAAGCCATGGCGCCACATCCATGTCGCCACTGCTGGCCTCGTTGCGGTGTTGCAACTGATGAGCAAAAAGTACTTGTTGCCATATTCTAGTTCGGTTCAGAGGCACTGAAAGTTCAAGTATCCCTCGAACAGAAATGAACATTGAAGATGCGTATTATTTTGTATTCATTATCATCATATCATAACAATAGCCTTACATTCATAAGGAAGGCATACAATGCATAAACAATGCTGCTAAACTTTCAACTTTTCTAAACCAATTGAAATATAACATTTTCCTTTCTAGGTTAATATACTTTCCTAGAGAATAATTGTAAAATTATTAAAGTTATGTTTAGTTTAGTTAATTTAAACCCACAATATTTGTTTTCATATTCAAACTTAAAAAACCACATCTATTTGCAAACCTGTAGCTAATCGTAATTCAGTACGTGAACAAAATTTAATATAAATTCTTAAGCCGATTCTTACCATTAGTATATTTGCCAAAAAATATGAAACCGAGGCTTAATAAATCTTGTCTATTATTATTAAAAGCTGAGTCAAAGGTTATGTGTATCCACATATAATCAAACTGGTTCCCTTCTTGGCTGCACTGATTCACCTGGTCTTCCTTCGCCTTCTGCCTTGGCATGTGAACATTTTAAAAGGGAAATTTAATAAACCTTGTCCTATTTCATGCTCATTAGTGTCATGATAAATTGTAGAGCCACGTAACCGGAGCGAAAGGAGGAGACTCCGGTCCGTGGCCATTTCTCAGGTGAGAACGCTGAATGGAATGGCATGGCATCGCGAAGCCCATGTAAATGTGGTTCGGGGCAGAGCAGTTCAAAGGCCAGTGGTGCTTAACTGTTGCACATTGCACACACCCAACACACAAATGGCCATAAATTAGAAAAGTTCGCCTCTGATGCGGACAAGTTGCCTTTGATTTGCCAGTTTTGTTTGCTTGTTGCCATTTTATAGCCGTTTAATGTGCTGACATGTCGGCAATTACATGAGAAAGATTGTCTGCGATTGGAGGGCGGGAAATGTAAATGGAGTTGGGTGAGTGTACGGGTTCATAGAGTTCACATAAATTCAAGCAATAATCTCATTGTTTTCGCATGCGCTTCATTGCGCGGTTTTTATCACGCATCGTTCGAGGCGAGAAATCGAGACACTTTTCGCCATCTGTTTGCCTTTTTTTGTTGTCAACAAAGTTTTGCAGACACAATATGTCTGCGGCAGTCGGTTGTCTATATATACATATTTATATATTTTCCTGCACGTCCGTCTAACTGAATGCTGTCTGTCCTTCCAGTTGCTTCCATCTGCCAACTGATGTAGCTACTTTTATGGTTGATGTTATTACTTTTTGTTGTTGCCTCCTATTTCCTCCAATTTTCCCCTGCAGGATACCCTCTGGCTGATACTGCGTCATGCAACAGCGTAAAAAGTTGAAGGTTGTTTCCCAGAATGCACAGCAAATATTATATACCCTGGAAAATGAAAAACATTGCAACGCATTCGAAAGATGTTTTCAGAATTTTAGATACAGTTATGAATTTACTACGCAAAATTCTTAAATTTTGGTTGTCAACTGTGTACGATTTGTATTTTATTTAACAATTATTGTTTTCACAATGCTTTTGCTTCGTCAAAATCGAGAAATCGGTCACATTTTTGTATGTGCTATATGTTCAGGGTAAGAAATTAAACAATTATTGATAACATAGGATCAAGTATGTATTTTCACTAAGAAAGTCTTGAGTCTTAAAAATCCCTTAACAATATAAATTATATAATTTCAACAGTATATGTATTCTTTAGGAAACTGAGAACAAACTGAAATGCTCTTTAAAATATAAATTCCAAAAAGGAAAAATATTTATTATTACCTTCTTCTGAAACAGAGATTACCATTTTTTCAGGGTATCTAACATAACTAACTTCAGCTGCGGGTTATTGTTTTTTCTGCTGTTAGCAGCATTGCTTTTTGCCTTTGTGGCTGCATCTGCACTTCAGACGTCGCCATGCTCGTGGTTTGGCGACGACATTTAAAGCGCCATGAATATGCAAAACTTTTACACTTGCTTTTTATGCGCAAATGTATAAATTGAGGGAAAAATGAAGAGGCGAGGAAAACAAACGCCGCTGGCTGCAAGGATATTTTTTGTGCTCTCCGGGCTCAGTACTATTAGTCGCCAGCATTGGCAACTGGCAACTTGTGCCGCCAGGAGGATGTCAGGATACTGGGATGCAGGGAAGCTGGGATGTTGAAATGCCCACCCCCTCCATCGCGTAATAATTCTTCAATAATAACGGGGAAGAAATGGCGGAGGCCAAAGCGTTTGTCGGTTAGGTGGGAAATGGGATCCGGCAGATCCGGCAGTTCCGGGGTCTCCACTGCTTCTGCTGGAGCCAACTCCATTGCGGGCTATAAAATAAACACTCACTCACTGCTGCCACTGCTCCTTGTCGCGTTATCCTTTTTCCTGCAGCTTCTCATTGTGCACTGAGAAAAACTAAATTACAATCGTTTGAATGTTA